ATATGTAAATAACTTTTTTAACTAACTAACAAACATTGTGCCGCCTCTATTCCGAGTTATATGACATGATTTTTCTTAGTTAATCTATTTAATAACACATTTCTTTATTTGACAAATATTTATTGGAAAACTTACATAAATATACTATATTAAAAAATATTTACCATTTATAGCAATAACATTTTTTTTTTCACTTGATCACTTTTAACACATTTATAATACACTTTTAATACATATTACAGAAAAGAATCTATTATTCACATATAATACAAGTTTTATTGATAGATAATACATTTATTACATATTTTAATACATCTGTAATACAATGTGTCAATTTCTTACCAAATAAACATAATATATTTTAAAAAAACAGTTATAATACATATATATTGCATACATAATTCACTTTTAATACATATTGCAGGTTTAACATAGTATTGCTATAAATGGTAATAAATAAAAGGCATAATACATAAATATGCCCTTTAACTTTACCTCATTTTACATTTATGCCCTCCAACTTTAAGTATGCACAAGTAGACACTTAAACTTGTATAAAATTAAACAAATAGACACACGCATCCTACGTGGCATCCTACATGGCAATTTGCGTCCTACATGGTGTCCGGTGCGTATTATGCCACATAAGACTCATGTGTCTACTTGTTCAACTTTATACAAGTTTAAGTGACTACTTGTGCACACTCAAAGTTGGAGGGTATAAATGTGAAATGAGGCCAAGTTAAATGACATATTTATGTATTATGCCTAGATAAAAAGTATCGCTAACATTTGTAATTATTTATTAAAAGGCACTCATCCAAGTAATTTTTCCATATATTTACACTATAACCTAGGGGTGCCAAAAATGAGTCCAGATACAGGTAGCCCGTCCAACCAACCCAAAATTTTAAGGGTCGGACTCAAGATAAATTGAATTGAGTTCAATCTCAAGACATTCAAGCCTTAATTTTGAAGAGATAATACATTTTAACTATTACTCCCTCTATTCCATATTAACTGAATTTTTTGGTTTTTTTCATTGTTCAAAATAATTAAATTTTTCAAAGTCCAAGATGAATGATACTCCCTCTGTCCCAATTTATGTGAAACATTTCGGATTTTGAGATTCAAACAAGTTTATCTTTGACCGTAATTTTTTCCTATATCTTTTAAATATTTTGAATTATCAATTATTGAGGCTTATAGTACTTTTATGTAGTTTACAAATATATAAATTTCATTTTAAAATTTTTGAAGATTTCATGAGCAAATCCTCGGTCAAACTTAAATTATTTGACTCTCGAAAAGCGAAATGTGTCACATAAATTGGGACAGAGGGAGTAATACATTTTAACTATTACTCCCTCTATTCCATATATGATGATATGATGATATATGATAGGCATAGTACATAAATATGACCTTTAAGCTGACATCTATGCCCTCCAACTTCGAGTGTGCACAAGTAGACACTTAAACTTGTATGGAATTGAATAAATAGACACAGTCGTCCTACGTACGTGGTGTCTTACATGACAATTTTGTATCCTATGTATTTTATGTCATATAGGACACGTGTGTCTGCTTGTTCAATTTTGTACAAGTTTAAGTCAATTTAAAGGGCATGCTTATATCACGATGATATGATATGATGATATTTTGAAGAAACTACAAGTTGAAGTGCCTCAATAAATTAGCCGTTGGTGTTAATGTATTTGTTGATTAGTCAATTTCAAGATAGTAGAGGTCCATGTGAAGGAGAGTTAATAGTAGTACCTACCTGAAAGCCTTGCAATTATCAGCCTTGCAATAGGAGAGTTCTGATTTATTCAAATTGACATAGTATAATGTCTTTGTTGAATATTTCTGTCCATGTTAAATTTATACCTTCAATTAAATAGAGTAATTTAATATCAATCTTAATACTAGATATTCTATCTTATCCTATTCAATTTGTTATTATTTTATCTTACCTCTTAAATGAATTGAAATAATCTCAAAATTATAATTTAAAACCTACAATTTTGTTTGCGAACCAGACAACCCCCACTATTATTGTTGTTGTTGGTAAAATTAATATAACTTGATGATCAGACTTTTTAAGAAGAGGGTAAAACTTCAACATCTCACTGCTGGAACAACATTTAATTTAGGCATTGATTGACTGTACTATTAAAGGTAATTCAATAGTTGCTTAGAATTATGTAGATATTAATTATTTTATCTTGAAAAAAGGGTAAAAAAATATCCTTAAACTATGTGAAAGAAACAAAAATGTCTTCCGTTTATATTGTGGCTCAAAAATGTTCTTATCGTCAATACTTTGGTTCAAAAATGCCCTTAAACTATGTGAAAGGAACAAAAATGTCATGCGTTTGTAGTTTGGTCCAAAAATGACCTTGCCGTCAATACTTTGGTCCAAAAATGCCCCTATAAGTTACAAAATGGGTCAAAAATGCTCATTTTCCAAATAAATAGTATATTATTATTTTCTTTTTGACATATCTTCTTCCTAATTTAAATATTATTAAAGAACACTATTCTTGTTTTCTTTCTTCTAAAATCACTTTAACAAATAAAAATGTAGGAAATACTTTTTTTTTCTTAATCTCATTTTATCAATTAAAATAGAATAACTTCATGTACCCTTTCGACAAATAATATATGTCATATATATAAGATCATAGTATATTCATCATTGATTTATATTTATATAACAATAAAAAATAATGATAATAAAATAAGAAATATTCAGATTCAGCCCATTAAGTGCGTTTGATTTTTAGGTCTGATGATTAAGATTCATTCCATTAAGTTTGTTTGTTTCTTTTTAAAAAAAAACGTCTTAATGGGTCTTAATGAGTCGGAATGAATCAGATCTCTAACAGTCTTAATACCATTCAGACTCTATTAAAATAATAAGCGTTCTTTCATAAACAAATTCTCTTCTGGACAAGTTTCAAGTTCCTTCCTCTTCTTTTCCAACCAAATACCATTTTTTTTTCTTTTGAATAAGTATGTTTTCATAATCTTTACAAGTATTTATCTAATATTTTTAATATATACAATATTCTTGGGTGAATTGATAACACTTCTTGTCACAATCTGTTTGTTGTCAAAGAAGGAAGAAGTTATCATTGTTTCTTGAGAAAAAATTGTTTGAGAAAATAAATAGATCATCTTTTTTTCTGGGGTGGGTTATAATCTTATTCTTGAAACAATTTTTTGGAAGAAGTATTCTTGGTTTGGATTATAACTTTTATTGATATAGGGTTTAATTCTCAATTTTAAAAAATAAAAATATTATGCACATTCTTAATGATTTAGTGTTCAGACCTAGAAACTACATCTTAATATTCAGACAAGCATTCATATTCTGACATCTTAATCTTAATGCTAATCTTAATATTCAGATGTGCATTCAGATTCAGACCTCTTAATCTTAATGAAAACAAATAAGGCATTTTCCCTTTTATATTTTATCTCGTAATTTATACATATATTAATTATACAAAGTTCTAAATTGTAAATCAAATATTCTCTCTGTCCCTAATTATTTGTCATTTTTGAATTGACACATCTATTAAGAAAATAATTATTGACATTGCAAATTTACCATTTTACCCCTATTAAATATGAAGTAGATGAATTAAAAACTTAAGATTTTTAAGAAGTTCTACCTTTTTAAAAGTAATTAATTGAAGATATAATAGATAAAAAAAATTTGTTCTTTCTTGATTTGTCAAAATGAACAAGTAATTAGGGACAACTAAAAAAGGAAAAGTGGACACATAATTAGGGACATATGGAGTACTGTATTAATTGTATATGTAAATATCATTTTTTTAACTAACTAACAAACATTGTGCTGCCTCTATTCCGAGTTATATGACATGGTTTTATTCAGTTAATCTATTTAATAACACATTTCTTTATTTGACAAATATTTATTTACATTATAACCTAGTGGTGCCAAAAATGAGCCCAAATACAGGTAACCAACCCAACGAGTCCAGAATTTGAAGGTTTGGACTCAAGATAAATTGAATTGAGTTCAATCTCAAGACATTCAAGCCTTAATTTTGAAGAGATAATACATTTTAACTAGTACTCCCTCTATTTCATATTAACTGAATTTTTGAGCTTTTTTTCATTGTTCAAAATAATTAAATTGTTCAAAGTTCAAAATGAATGTTTGAAATTTTTTCCAAATTTGCCCTTTCCTTTAACGAAGTTTGATATTTTCTAGGAGATAAATTGCACTATTTGCAAAGTTATATTTATGATTTCTCAAAGGATAATAGTGGAAAGTATGGTTTAAATCATGTCTTTTAATGTTTTTCTTAATAAGTGTGCATTGTCTCACAAATTCAGTTAATATGGAATAGAGGGAGTATTTAATTAGATTGAATGTTTTATTTACAAAATTTTAATTAAGTACTATAAGGACAAAATCGTAATCTAACTTTGTAAATAGGAGCTTCTTTTAATAATATGATATGATGATATATGATAGTCATAATATATAAATATGACCTTTAACTTGGGTTCAACTGACATCTATGCCCTCCAACTCCGAGTGTGCATAAGTAGACACTTAAACTTGTATGAATTCGAACACATAGAGACATTCGTTCTACGTGGTGTCTTACATGACAATTTTGTATCCTATGTAATTGATGTCATGTAGGACACGTGTGTCTGCCTATTCAATTTTGTACAAGTTTAAGTCAATTTAAAGGGCATGTTTATATGACGATGATATGATATGATGATATTTTGAAGAAACTACAAGTTGTAGTGCCTCAATAAATTAGCCGTTGGTGTTAATGTGTTTGTTGATTAGTCACTTTCAAGATAGTAGAAGTCCATGTGAAGGAGGGTTAATAGTAGTACCTACCTAAAAGCCCTGCAATTATCAGCTTTCAATTTACTCTCAACCTATTTTCATTCTACCTTGTAACTAAGAAATCTAGTGAAGAATTAATCAATCAGATATGGAAATCTTATCTATTTTTGTGAAAGAGGTAACAGATTGCTTGATCCAGCCAATTGCACGAGGGATCGGGTATTTCTGTTACTACAAGAGCAACATCACATCTATGGAAAATGAATCTAAGAAGCTGGAGGATATCAGAATTGGGGTGCATCAAAGAGCGGAGGCTAACCGGAGAAACTTACAAGCCATTTCACCCAATGTTGAGGCTTGGTTTACTAGTGTTGATACCATTACTGCTGATGTGGCAGCTGTAATGCGACGAGGTGGAATTGAGGTTGAAAGATATGATTGGTGTCCAAACTTGAAGTCACGTTACTCGCTGAGCAGGAGAGCTAAGAAAATTGCGTTGAAGTTGATTGAACTTCGAAATGAAGGCAAAGATTATGGTGTTTTCTGCTATCATGCTGTTGGAAATGAACCTGTACCTATCAACAGTGCTGAGGAGTTTGATTCTAGAAAATTGCAAGAGGATGAGGTCATGGCAGCTTTGAACGATGACGGGGTCACTATTATTGGGATATGTGGTCTGGGTGGTGTTGGTAAGACGACACTGGCTGAGAAAATCAGACAAAAGGCGAAACAAGAAAGGTTGTTCAATGATGTTGTTATGTTAATTGTCAGTCAACAACCAGATCCTAAAAGAATTCAGGATGAGATCGCAAGAGGGGTCGGGTTTACATTAGAAGGGGATGATTTGTGGAGTCGTGGAGATCAGCTGCGTACAAGGTTAATGGATCACAACAGCCGTACTCTTGTAATCTTGGATGATGTTTGGGAGGCTCTTCATGATCTAGAGAAACTTGGAATTCCCACCGGTAGCAACCACAACTACCGGTGCAAAGTTATATTGACGACACGTCTCCGACCTGTTTGTGATATAATGAAGGCTCAGAAGATCATGGAAATTGGAACTTTACCTGAAGAGGAAGCATGGATCCTTTTCAAGGAGAAAATCGGTAATTCAGTCGACGATCCTTCTCTGCTTGACATAGCAAAAGATGTTTCCAAAGAATGAAAGGGGTTGCCGCTTGCAATTATTACAGTTGCAGGATGTCACGACCCGATTTCTCAAGTCATGATGGCACCTACTATAACCCACCAGCAGGTAAGCCAACCCGTAACCCGGAACAACAAGTAATGGGTCTAAGGGTAGAAATTAAACAAGAGTAGGAAAATAACAATATAAACAGGCGGAAGCAACCCAAAACATATATACAAATAAAGATCCCTCCCAGAACCTGGAAGTCACCAGTACAGAGCTACTACAAAATGAGTACAAGTCCCAAAACTGGACAACAGAGACTGGACTGTCTCGAAAGGAAGAAGACAAGTCTATAGATACAGATGGAGACTGAAATAGTACAAAACGCCGTGTGCTCACCCCCGTCTCCAGGTAAGTCTACTCCAAGCTCGATCAACGCTGGCTACTAGTGCTCGGACCTGCATCACAAAATAGATGCAGAGCGTAGCATGAGTACCAAAACAACAGGTACCCAGTAGGCATCATAGGCCGACTGAGCAAGATAAGCAAAAGTGAACTGAAATGCAAATAAAGGGTCACATCAAGTGCAAAGAGTAGTAAATGGGGGTATGTACACGAGCGTACAGGCAACAAAGACAAGTAATCTAACTAACTCCGCCGGGCTCCCATAAACCCGACGGGTACGCTCGTGCACAATAAAAGAAACCACCTGCACGGACCCCCATAAGCCCGGCAGATGCATCGACAGTTAAAGTAAAATAATGGAGCTAGAAGGTCTATCACAATATTACCAATTTCCGGACTTTTAACTGAACCATTCCTAATCATATTCCAGGATCTCATTACGTCCCGGACTTTAATCGGAATCTCTCCAACCTCCAAAACCTCAACCTACAGATGAGAGTAATCAAGACTAAACTGAAGCTTTAGTGAGGAATTGGGAATACACCACGTGCAAGCTGGACCACGGACTCGAACCGGGTACTATAGCTAATGAGTCAACCTATATGGGCTGGACCACAGACTCGAACTGGGTGCTGTAGCCAAAGGTCGGGCACGGGTGGGCTGGACCACGGACTCGAACCGGGTACTGTAGCCAAAACCAGATCACAGGTAAGCTGGACCACGGACTCTAACTGGGTACTGTAGCTAAGCCTGGACATAAGTAAGCTGGACCACGGACTCTAACCGGGTACTGTAGCTAATAGAAAAGCAGGGCATTATGGATACAAGGTCATAAGCTGAGTTACCGACTATCAGACTCAAGTCTGCTATATCAGTCTACAAGGAGCTGACCGTCTGAAACGACGTCGGAAAAAGTTCTACTACCCAACGACATCCGAAATCTCGCAAGTCTATGGCAACACTAGTCTAAGCCTAGACTAAGGCCAAACATACTACAAATCAATATTATTATATACACCACAAGATATGGATATTCAATAATATCAAGAGACATGTTGTCATAATCCAACACTTTCCCGAAATAACGTCTAAGGCAGGAATTATAGAAATTTAGCATGCTCGACACCCGAACCCCTCCATACTCAAGCAAATCAATAAACAATTGCCTAAACATGCTCAATCTCACGAGAGAAAGCCATAGCCTACCTGAAAGCCGACCACGCGTGCTCCAACTCACGGTACCAGATCTTTTCCCCTCCGAACGGTCTCCAAATGCTTCCCCACTAACAAAAGGTTAATCACCTCGTCATTACGAATATATTGACACTAAAATTATATTTTTCGGAGACGGACCAAAAATCGGGTCTAAAACGGGATTGTGGGGCCCACAATTGGAATCTCGAAAACGAATCCGTGAAAACGTCCCAAATACCTTACTAAACTAATACCCCAAAATTTAGCACAAACAGATGCCTAAAACATAGCAAATCAGCCACAACAATTAAAATGGGCAGCCCCTTGATCACCAATTTCTGGAAAAACGAGACCCTTTCAACCCAAACAGATTATACCACGACGATCCTTGCGAAAAACTCTACAAGTTAGCCTCAAGAATGACTCAAAACGGACCTAAGATGATCAAGATCTCACATTTCAAAATTCAACAACAATTCAATCCGGAAATCACCCTGGCAGTGGCTAAAATCGATTCCTTACCTCAAATGAAGCCTCCCCTCGCGTTTCTGAGATCACCGCTAGATTCCCCACGAGATTCTCTTGAAGTTAGCCTTTTGAAGCACCTAATTTGGACTCAAAATGAAGGAGCAATCTTATGTTGAAGTTGAGGGAAAAAAATGGACGAAAATGGTCCTAAAATCTGGAAATTTCCAGATTTCCATCGCCGCCACGTGGCGTCGCGTGGCTCTGCCACGTCACCGCCGCGTCAAAATTCTACAACCCTTCAAACTTAAATTTCGATGTTTCGGACTCGTTCGGAGTCGGAAAAATAGAAACCATATATGGAATCTGATTGGAAACGATATTTCGGACTCAACAGTGAAGGCGGAATTTCCATTTGGAGATTGCTTCGATGAAAAGTGGGTCCCACACCCAGTATCGTTTGAGCCAGATTCCACAACTGCCATCTAAAGCCTCGGGAAGTGAACAAAGGGTCGTTCTAGACCAAAATCGATCTTCCGAAGCTAGCCTAGCTGTCAGAATTTTCATCTGAGCACGACTTCCAAGAAGGTTGACCAAAGTCAACTTTTCAAGTTATAAAAATCTCCAAAACAGGGAAACGGGCCTAAAACCCAAACGAACGACCAGGCGACCGAACAGTCAGTGCCAGCAAGTCATAAATGACTTGGGGTCGCTATAGGAATGCTCTATACGAGGGAAAGAATTTTTTAATTTAAAAATGACCTGGAGGGTCATTACACAGGAGCACTAAAGCGTAAAACCAAGCCTTCCTGGGAGGATGCCCTTAAACAATTACGTGGTGCAGAAATAAGAAATATCCCTGGAGTGCACACAAAGGTGTATAGACCTCTGAGGCTAAGCTATGATCACTTGGAAAGTGATGAAGCCAGGTACCTCTTTTTGCTTTGTTCTTTGTTTGAGGAAGATAGTGATATTTGGATTGAAGAATTACTTAGATATGGAATGGGGCTTGGCATTTTTTCGGAAATGAACAATTTAGAACATGCAAGAAATAGGGTGTGTCTTTTGATAGAAATATTGAAAGACAGTTTCTTGTTATCCCAAGGTTCAAACAAAAACTATGTCAAAATGCATGATGTGGTACGTGACGTGGCTATATATATTGCATCTGAGGAAGAGCATATATTTATGGTAAGGCATGATGTGAACTCAAAAGAGTTCCCCAAAAAAGACTCTTACGAGCAATACAGTCACATGTCAATAGTTGCAAATGAATTTGAGGAGCTTCCTAGACCAATATTTTGCCCAAAACTGAAGCTTCTAATGTTGAAACTCTGTTTTGGAAAGCCATTCAAATTACAGGATAACTTTTTCAATGACATGAGTGAACTCAAAGTCTTAAGCCTGAGTAGATATAATATGTCCATTTATGGTTTTCCAGCATGGATTTGTCCTTTTCCAGCATCCATTTGTCCTTTTCCAGCATCCATTCAGAGGTTATCGAGTTTGAGGACGCTGCGTTTGATTACTTTAGAGTTTGATGACATATCTATTATTGGGGAACTTGTCAATTTAGAAATTCTAAGCATAAGAGATACTCGGTTAGATGAGCTGCCAGAGGAGATAGGAAATTTGACCAAGTTAATTGTATTAGAGTTTTGGAATAAGAAGAAAACACTTAAAAGGATTTCAACAGGTGTCTTATCAAGACTAGTTCGATTGGAGGAACTACATTTGGTGGGAGTAGAAGATTGTAGTTACTCCACCTTGAGGGAACTGGAATCCTTATCGAAATTGACTACACTGATGTTAGATGAATGTTCCAGAGATGTGATTTACAGTAAGGTGGTCCTTCACTCCAAGTTGACACGGTACAGTATTAAAGGGCGGTATGCTTACGAAGAGAGCATGGATGATTACGTCAAGAGTATTGCTCTCCATGTCATGGAGACCACCCCATTGGGTGATTGGATCTGCCACCTGTTGAAGGAGAGTGAATATGTAAGTTCATATGGAGAGGGCTCTAATATTGTGTTGACTGAGTTGCAGCTGAATGAATTTCAGAACGTGAAATATCTCCGCCTCTCTGATTGTGATTTAGTGACACATATATTCAACATCTCTCGGACGACACATGAAGTAATCAAGTTCCCCAATTTATATGGGTTGGAGCTTCAATCTCTGGTATGCCTCACTCACTTTTGCAGTGACAATGTTGACGGCATTGAGTTCCCTCAGTTACGGAATATGAGCTTCTATTATTTACCTGAGTTCCAAAATTTGTGGCCTACGGTCAACAACTCCATCACTCACTCAAATCCTCTTTTTGACGAAAAGGTTTGCTTCTTATCATAGAAAATAAAGACTTTTTTAAAATATGAAATGAGCTTACTTTTTCAGTTTTTATTTTGAGGGTTTTTATGAATTTAATTTTACTTGAGCATTAAAGATATTTACTACACAAAGTCTATTCTTTCACTGTTAAATACAAATGAATCAGACATACTCTTTTTGAAGTTTATTTTAAAAAGGTTATATAGGGCTATATTTGATTCTTCACACACCTGAATTTTTTTTTGACTTTTTTATTCAACGGCTAAGTTTTTAATATCTCTCTTATAAATTTATTTGCTTATCATTATTTGAGATTCTAATTCTTATTTCATTTTTTTTTTGAGAAAATAAATAGATATGGAAAAAGAAGAAAAAAGGTAAGAACAAAAATGTCCCATCGTTTCCGAAAATGACTTTTTCCTCAACACTTTGGTCCAAAAATGCCCTTTCCATTAATAGTTTGATCCAAAAATGACTCTATTGTTACTAAATAGGTCAAAAATTTACTTTTCTGAATAAATAAATTATTTCTTTTCTTTTTAACCAAATCTTATTCGTAAACTAACAAAAAATAACATTTTTCTTCGTAATCTCTTATCAATTTAAATAGAATAATTTCATGCTTCCTTTTAATGGATAATATATATATATATATATATATATATATATATATATATATATATATAAATCATAGTAAATCCATCATTAATTTTTACTTAGATAATTATAATAAAATAAATATTTTCAATATATAAGCGTGTCTAAGCACTTTTGGCATTGTTTTGTTTAAGTAGAAAAGGTTAAAGATAAAGAAATCCACAAGTATAGTAATTTAATGCTTCAAGTGTATTTGTAACAAAATAATAAAGTTTGCTACTTCATCCCTTCAACGTTTGCAGATTTCTTGTCCGAGCCTGGAATATCTATATATCAAGAAGGCCAACAATATAAGTGCTCTATGCTCTCACCAACTTCCAACTGCCTATTTCAGCAAACTTGAAACATTAAGTGTATTGAATTGTGGAAAGTTAAGAAACTTGATGTCTCCATCAGTGGCAAGAGGTCTTCTAAACCTCCAAACTTTATGGATAAAAGGGTGTCCATCAATGGAAGAAGTGATCACAAAAGAGGAACAACAACGAGAAGGAATCATGACCTTATTTCCCCGGTTGAAAGACCTGATGCTTAACAATCTTCCTAAGCTGGGGCATTTCTTTCTGGCGGAGCATGCTCTTAAATTTTCATTTCTCAGAAAAGTGTGGATTGATGACTGCCCGCAAATGAAGACGTTTGTCCAACAGGGAATATCTGTGAGTACACCGAGTCTCGAATGTGTGAATTATGATTATGGACTGAAAGTAGATGATCTCAATAAATGGACACAACAGAGGTTCAATTCTAAGGTTTGTCTAATGCCGCTACTTGTATAACTAATTAACTATAGTGCTCTCTTTCCATCTTAACTTAATAGTAATATTCAAATACTTATTTCTGTTTGCCAATTGAAGCAATTTCCTTATACAATAATTTTAATTAGAAATCTGAAGCATCACTATTCTTTGCTCCCAGGAACAAAAAGCTAGCCAAGGCACTACCAATGGCGACGAATCTGAGCTATTGTTGGCGACAAATCTGAAGCTGCCGATGACTACGAAAGGGTGAAACGTGATTTTGGGGTCATGATGTTGTTAGCACCATAGACATCTAAATAATTGTATATATTAATGTAATTATATAGTGCTATAAATTAGTATTATCATATAGATTTGTTGTAGAATCAGAGAAAATAAATATTGTGATAGAATAACTGATTTGGAGAGATAACAAAGCAGATTTAGAGGGATTAAAGACCAAATTTGTAGATATATATTAGTTGAGTTAATATCTCATATGGTCACTTAACTTTTAATAGTTTACTTAGAAAGTCACTCAACTTTGAGTTGTTCACTTCGAAAGTCACTCAACTTTGTTTTATAACTTAAAAGCTGCTCAACTATTAATAGTTCACTTAAAAAGTCACGTAACTATTGATATTTTACATAAAAAGTCACCCAACTAATTTAAATTAATTTTTTCATTAAATTTTGTAAAACACAAAAAAAATAATTAACTATTTAAAAAAAAGAAAAGAAGATGTTCATTTTAATTATTTTATTGAAGTATAATTTTTCTTTATACCTATTTTTTTTTTTTAAAATAAAGGCATTGTGCTGCGTAGTTTTTTATTACTTCTTACCAATTCCAACTTCTTCTTCTTTTTTGGATCATTTTTTAACATATTTAATTCTAGTTATATAATTGCTAAAACGGAAAAAGTTTTTTTTGGGGTCAACTACTACGGTACGTTTTTCAAAAAAATTATAATTTAAATAATTCGGATTAACAAAATAAATAAAATAAATATCTTATTATTTCTTTAAAAAAATAGTTTAACATAAAAATTAATTTCAATAAAATTTTATTAAAAAAAATAGTTAAATTGATTGAGTGACTTTGTAAGTGAAATATCAATAGTTGAGTGACTTTCTAAATGAAACATCAATAGTTGAGTGACTTTTGAGTTATAAAACAAAGTTGAGTGACTTTCTAAGTAAACAATTCAAAGTTGAATGACCATATGAGATATTAGCTCTAGATTAGCTAATCTTTAGGGATAGGAACGGAAAGACTATCTCAATTTGAGAGGCAATCAACAGAAAATTGACATGGTATTAGAGCCTTCTCTTGGTTGTCTTATTTCAAAGTGTCATTTGTGGTTTCTTCTATAAAAAACTGAAAATCTTGATTTTTTGTTGATTGTTCGTCGATAACCAGTCCTACCACCAAGGACTTTTGTTCTTGGTCATTCTAGTTACTTTCTTGAGTCTTTGTAGTTATCATAGCTATTCAAAAGCATGCATCACATCACTTTGAATCCTTTAGTGCTCGTTTCACTGGAATATAATATTCTTCTTGGGAGTTTCAATTTCAGTTATTTGTCACCGGCAAAGAATTATGGGGCCATATAGATGGAAGCAATTTTGCTCCTACTGATCTGACAAAGCTAGGTGAATGGAAGATTAAAGATGCGCGGGTGATGACATAGATTTTAGGGTCGATTGGCCCTCTAATTATTCTTAATCTCAGTCCGTACAAGACAGCTAAGGCCATGTGGGATTACTTACAAAAGGTTTGCAACAAAGATAATTATGCAAGATGCTTTGTAGAGTATGAAATTGCTAATTACTCTCAAGGAGGTATTTTTGTTCAAGATTATTTTTCTGGATTCTAGAACTTATGGGTTGAATTTACAGATATTGGCTATGCCAAAATACCTATTGAATATCTATTTGTGATTCAGGCAGTTCATGAGCAAAGTAAGCGAGATCAATTTTTGATGAAATTACGCTCCGACTTTGAGAGTATTCGCTCTAACTTGATGAATCATGACTCGTCTCCCTCTTTGGATGTTTGTTTTAGGGAATTACTCTGTGAATAGCAACATCTTGTTACACAAAACGCTTTCAAGAAAGAAAATGATGTCACTGTTGCATTTGCTGCTCAAGGTAAAGGAAATGGCAGGGTTATGACTAGAACTCAATGCTACAGTTGCAAGGAATATGGTCATATTGCTAGAAATTGTAGCAAGAAGTTCCGTAATTATTGTAAACAACAAGGACACATTATCAAAAAATGTTCCACGCGCCCTCAAAATCGTAGGGTCAATATTTTTCACGCTGGGATAAATGGTTCCACTATTGATAACTCATCTTCAGGACAAGTTCTGACTCCTGAAATGGTACAACAAATGATCATGTCAACCTTTCAGCATTGGGATTACAAGGTAATGATGTTACATCTAATTTTTGGATTGTTGATTTAGGTGCTTCCAATCATATGACCAACTCAACGAGCATCCTAAAAAATGTTCGTAAGTATCAAGGTCCATCAAAAATACATATTGTCAATGGTAGTAATTTACCCATTACCAAGGTTGGGGACATTACTCCAACTTTCAAGAATGTTTTTGTTTCACCAAAGCTCTCGACTAGTCTTATTTCAGTTGGACAATTGGTAGATAACAATTGTGATGTGATTTTTTCTCGTAATGATTGTCTTGTGCAGGATCAAGTGTTGGGGACGATAATCGCGAAGGTGCCTAAAGTTGGACGATTGTTTCCTATACACTTTTTGATTCCTCATGTTCTATCTTTTGTGTGTACTTCTACTGCTAGTAAGGCTGAGGTTTGGCTTAAGCGTCTAGGGTATCCAACTTCTGTTGTGTTGTCTCATTTTTCAAATTATGGTTTATTGCGAAATAAAAATCATTTTTCAGCTGCTTCCATTGATTGTTCTACTTGTAAATTAGGCAAAGTAAAACTATTCCTTTTCCTAATTTTGGTAGTCGTGCTACATAGTATTTGATGTCATTCATAGTGATGTAATTGGGACATTTCACCAATTATTTCTCATGCTCAATTTAAATACTTTGTGACATTCATAGATGATTATAGTCGGTTTACATGGGTGTATTTTCTTCGATCCAAATATGAGGTATTTTTCATGTTCAAAACATTTTTGGCTTACATATTGAGATTCAATTTTCTACGTGCATCAAGTTATTAAGATCTGATTCTGGTGGAGAATATATGTCTTATGAATTCAAAAAATTCTTGCTTGACAAAGGAATTGCCTCGCAACACTCTTGCCCATATACACCACAACAAAATGGAGTTGCTAAGCATAAAAATCGACATATTTTAGATGTCACTCGTACTTTATTGATTGAGTCCTCTGTACCATCTAAATACTGGGTGGAAGCTTTGTCTACTGCTTTCTATTTAATTAATAAACTGTCATCTAAAGTGCTAAATCTTGAATATCCATATTTTCGTCTTTATCACCAAAATTCTAACTATAGTGATTTTCATACATTTGGTTGTGTTTGTTTTGTGCATTTGCCTCCTTCGCAGTGCAATAAACTTTCTGTACAGTCTAATAAATGTGCTTTTATGTGTTATAGTACTTCACAAAAAAGTTTTATTTGCTATGATCCATGTTCTCACAAATTTCGTGTTTCTAGAAATGTTGTTTTCTTTGAGAATCAATATTTCTTTCCTACTATTATAGATTCATCTTCTACTTTTCTTCTTCTTCCTACTTTTGAGGATTTATTATCTTTTTTTAAAAGGTTCAAATATGAATTTGTGTATGAACGACGTCGATCGACTTTACCCCATACCGATATTGATCTGCCACGTGAAACTCTACCACAACTAGAATATGAGACTTCTTCGAGATCTGATTCTCTTGAGCCTACTAGGAGATCTACTAGAGTATCTCATACTCCCAATTGCTATGGCATTTCCTCTACTTTATTCAACATTTCTGTTCCAACTTGTTACTCACTAGCTTTCAAGCATAAATGTTGACTGAAAGCAATGGAGGAAGAACTTTTGGCTCTTAAAGAAAATGACATATGGGACATTGTTTCATGTCCTTCAAATGTCTTCCCAATTGGATGTAAATGGGTTTATTCAGACAAACTTCATTCTGATAGAACTCTTGATCGATACAAAGCTCAATTGGTTGTTCTTGGTAACAAACAAGAGTATGGGGTTGACTATGAGGGGACTTTTGCACCCGTAGCAAAAATGACTACGGTGCGAACTATTATTGCCATTGTTGCTTCACAAAATAGTTATCTTTATCAAATGAATGTCAATAATGTTTTCTTCATGGTGATCTTAAAAAAGATATTTATATGAAACCTCAACCTGGTTTGTTCTCATCACCTACATCAGATGTATGCAAGTTGAAGCGGCTTTTGTATGGATTATAACAAGCTCCTAGAGCTTGGTTTGATAAGTTTCGGTCTACTTTGCTACAATTTTCTTTTGAGCGTAGCAAATATGACTCATCTTTGTTTCTTCGGAAAACATCAACAAGTTGTGTTCTTCTTTTGGTGTATGTAGATGACATTATCATCACAGGAACCAATTCTTCATTAATCACTAGCCTACAACGGCAGCTTAAAGATTTTTTTCATACGAAAGATCTTGGTACTCTTACATATTTCTTGGGTTTGGAAGTTCATAATGATGTTTCAGGTGTGTTTCTACACCAACACAAATATACTCAGGATCTGATTTCTGTGGTTAGTCTTTAAGATTCCTCCTCCGTAGATACTCCATTGGAATTGAATGTGAAGTATCGTCGTGAGGAAGGCGATCTTCTTCCTGATCCAACTATATTTCGACAATTAGTTGGGAGTTTAAATTACCTTACTATTACTCGGCATAATATCTCTTTTGTAGTTCAACATTAGTCAATTTATGGAAGCTCCCCATCATCTCCATTTGGTGGTTGTTCGTCGTATCATTTGATATCTTCTAGGAACATTTACTCGTGGATTGTTCTTTCCAAGTGGTTCTCTTATTCATATTAATGCTTTTAGTGATTCTGATTGGGAGGGATGTCCTAATACTCGTCGTTCAATCGCTAGTTGTGCATGATTTTTGGAGAGATTGATATCTTGGAAGAGTAAAAAGCAAGATCGTGTGTCAAAATCTTCAACAGAGGTTGAATATCGATCCATGTCTACTGGTTGCTCCGAGGTTGTATGGCTTTGTGGATTACTTGCTGAGATTGGATTTCCTCATGAATCTCATCCTACTCCTCTCCGCGCTGACAATACAAGTGCTATTCAAATTGCTACTAATCCAATTTTTCTTAGGAGGACCAAACACATCGAAGTAGATTGTCATTATATATGAGAAGTTGTAGATAAAGGAGTCCTTACTCTTCCATATGTGTCCAGTGATCTTCAAATAGATGATGTATTTACAAAAACCATGGCACGACAACGCCATCAGTTTCTAGTAGGCAAATTGATGCTTCTTCATCCACCAACATCAATTTGATGGGGGGGGGGGGATGTTAGCATGATAGAAAACTAAATAATTGTATATATTAAAGTAATTATATAGTTCTATAAATTAGTATTATCATATAGATTTGTTGTAGAATCAAAGAAATAAATATTGTGATAGAATAGCTGATTTGGAGGGATAGCAAAACAGATTTAGAGGGATTGAATAGCATATTTGTAGAGATAGAATAGTTGATCTTTAGGGATAGGAATGATGGATTTTTAGGGATGCGAAATCTTTATACTCTCTATATAATGGAAAGACTCTCTCACTTTGAGAGGCATTCAGCAGAAAATTGACAATGACAACAATGCCAAACCTACTCATGGCAGAAGCTAGTGATGTCTATGAATCCAAAGCTAGCTAGGAAGGTAATAAGTATTCGATGAAATAGTCCAAGTTAGATTAAGCATCACCTGATACTACAACGTGGTTTGTTAATTTTTGAAAGAAGGGGCGGATCTTGAAGAAGTGACGCGAGCCTAGAGTAGCTGCCTATTACGTTTTGTCAGGCCCCTTTGATATCTTATTAGCCGAGCTTGAATCTGCATGTGGTTCTAAATTCTTCTTTCATTACATTTAACAGCTAATATGTAGCTTATTTTCTCATGACATCTTGCATTCTATATCGTTTTGAGAGATTTTAATGCACACTCTTTTGAGTGCTTGTTCATCCATATTTAATAGAGGCCTATATATAGCATCAAAAGAAAGCCTATGAATAGTTATCTTACTGCTTGTGATGGGAATGTTATATATTGTATTTTGGCTCAATATTGCATCCAAAAGCTCTTTAATATTGAGACAAAAACATATAGGTGTAAACAAGATGAATGAACAATGTTTTGGCATGTGAACTGAAGACTAAAAGTGAAGTCTTTGTTTAAAAATTCTTCTTTGATTTTTGTAGTCGCCAGTTGCCTACAATTATTATTTTGATTGCTCATTGCTAATGGCATTCTTGTATATTTCAAAGCTCCAAGCATTATCTGCTCAAGACTATTGCGATGTGAGTTAACATCTAACATTTATCCTTTTTTTAATAACCATGGTGCCTATGTCAACTTGCACGCACGTTGGTTGACTCAACTTGTAACTATATGGGGTAGCATTTGTTAGGACCGATATAAGCAGGTGTAATGCGGAAGCTAGCAAAGCAAACCTCGAAAGACCACGAGTAAGAAGACAAACGAAAAACACACCAAAAGAGACAGATTTAACGTGGTTCGGTCAATCGACCTACGCCACAAAGGAGATGAGCAATCCACTATAAATATGAGAGTACAAAAGATAGAGAGAAACAACCTCAATCAATTCATTCAGAATATAAGGAGGTACACAAAATTCTCCTCCATAACTGCAACTCTCAAAACCCTAGGACTACATTGTGAATGCTAATTAAGTTAGAAGGAACAAGCCTATATTTATAGAGTCATAAACCTTTCCTACAAGAAAAGGACTAGTTAAAATATTAAAACATTTTCCTAAAAGAAAAACCTATTTATGGTAAGAAATCAAGGCAAATAAATGCCAACAACATTGACTTGTACTTTCCAGTAAAATTCATTGATAATGTAAGAGTTGTTTACATTGCCGATGTATTCAAGTAAAATTCTTATTTGAAATGTCACTCAGACGTGTGAGATTCTATCATTTCCTTCAATTTGTGAGTTCTCTTATACTAGAATTTGTTGGATTTTTTGTGTTTGAATAATTTGCACAAGAATCATAAACACAAGCGCCAATAGTAGATACTAAACCACCACAAAACAACATAGTTGTTGATCAATACAAGGACATAAAAGTGACTGTTATAGTTATGTTGATCATTCTTATCATAGGTAATGATGATTCAGCTGTGATTCCTACCCATATTGTCGATATAGCTTTCCTGATTGGTTAAGGGTCTTGCAGTTCCATCAACTCGGTCATTCTTCAAGGGTGTTGAGGCATGGAAAGAAGAAAACAGAATGCATAAGGTTAATCTCTTTGAACCTTCTTTCTGATTGTAATGTGCATTAGAAATTGTGTTTTTTCTGATAAATTGTTCACTCGTGTTTCTTTTACATTCAGATGGCTGCCAGACACTTGCTACCTCCCAGTGAGTATTGGAACACAAAACCATATGAAGAAGATGAAGGTTTGACTATGTGAACACTACTCTTATCATGTAAGTATCAACAGAGATATTTGACCAGTTAGTAATATGTGGTATTATGGAACTGCAACAGATTATGGTGCTGAAGATATTATGTACAAACTTCTACCTAGAGGTCCAAGAATTAGAAATGAAGAGGTGATCACTTTCATATTTGTCGCTATCAATTTACTTGACTACCTACACGGTCAATGTCTAATTTTTCATAAACAAGCATTACCTCAAGTTATTTTGAACTTGATGTGCCTTTCGCTATACTGGAATGCTGACTTCTTGAGCTTCTCCAGGTCGTGTATACGAAGGATTTCAGCATACTTATTGCTGTGTGGGTCATTTTCCTCGTTCTGCATATCGTTAAGGTTTATTGCTTTAAATTGCTTGTCTGTTTGTAATACCTTCACATTTTCAGAACCACCTTCTGCACTATTAACTTTCTGACTAGAAGCTATCAATTTTTGGGTACAGACATATACATCAACTTGTTCAACGGCATATTGGATCTTAAACCTCTTACAGGTACTTATTGTTTGAAATGTAAACTATACTGTCTGTGTGTTTTCTCCAATTTTCACTCACCTGTTCCTGCTTCGGGTTGATATAGGAGGAATTAGCTTCTTCATATTCAAGAATATTTCTTTTCTACTTTTCAGGTCCCTGTTGCTGTAGGAGTTTGTGCATATGAAGCAGTTTTCTTGTATAACGGAACGAGGGTGATCAACGTCAAGTGGAAAAGAAGTAATAACCATGTATATGGGAGACAGGGTGGTCATGTCAAGTGGCGAAGAAGTGATAACCTGGAAAGTGCATCAGTTGATTCTTTACTGTTGCTGTGGCTTTTTGGATGGTATAGTTGGTGGTCTGCTAGGTCTTCATGGAGGATTCATTTTGGTTCCATTGTTTCTACAGCTAGGGGTTTTGCCTCAGGTGCATCTTGTTTTAGAAAGATCAGTTTTTTTGACTTCCAAGTTGCAACTATTGACACATTGCAAATGCAGGTTTCTAGCACCACTGCTAACTTTATGATGATATTCTCCTCTTCCATGTCTGTCATACAGTATTACCTACTAGGACACTTTCCAGTACCATATGGTAAGGACAGATCTTCGTTGGTTTTTATCGTTGATAGTTGAGAAATCATATATTCTATCACTATCTTGCAGCCTTGTATTTCGTAGCTGTGACCACTGTTGCTGCCTTGGTAGGAAGCCATGTCGTAGATGAAATAATTCGCCTTGTTAATAGAGTATCTGTGATCATCTTTATTATGTCCTTCACAATCTTTATCAGCGCTTTCATTAGGCAAGTTCCTTCTCTTTTCATTTCGCTTACATATTTTGAGCTATAATTTGAAGGAGGGGCAGTATATGGGGTTTGATAATATCTGTGCATATAAGCCTTAAGTTTAGTATCACTAGTGTTCTTCTGGAGTTTTTATAACAGATTTTGATTTTATTTGCAAAAAGAAATTGGTGTGTGATGGATTTAATCCTGTCTTTTGTAATGCATGGCAAAATTTACGAATTCACATTGAGCTCATGTGACTCGAAAAGCCCAATGATCAGAGTGTGACTGCTGAAGCTAACTATGAAATGACAATGTAGGGTCACTTTAATGGAGAACTTCCTAGAAGCCTTTGTAAAGTAGCTAACTGATTAGGAGGAATGAGTTACTAAATGTAGATGTTATAAACTTGGTAAACCAAAGAAGGAGAAAAGAAAAGAACTGCTGCTCAAGTGTGTTGACTGTATCGGCTCGATCTGCTGGACTTTGAATTTGCTACCTTGTGTGAATTCGGGCGTTAAAATATTGTTGGATGAAAAAGGCAAAAATAAATGAAAGAGTTTGAGAGACAGAAGGCTTCTTTTACTGCAAAACTTTCTTGCTTCAAAACCAAAACTCCTATTGCCCTTTTATAGGCTTACAATTAACTACTAAAGCTAAAATAAAGCAACACACAAATAATGGAAAACATGGAAAAGTGGTAAACATGGTCCACTACAATAAGAATATAATTTCATTGACTAAGTAAAACATAAACCCACTAATCCTAGAAAATAGACCCACAGACTGATTTCTGCAAACTAACTATTTTTGAAGAATTAGTCAACACTCCCCCTTTCTTCAAAATCACAAACTCCCATTTGTCATCTGAAGAAGTCATGCTTGTTGCGGGGCAGCGACTTCGTAAGAACATCAGCAGTCTGTGTATTTGTGCCACAAAATTCCAGTGAGATTATTCCACCAGCGACTAGATCGTGAATAAAGTGATAGTGAGTGTTGATGTGCTTCGTTCTACTGTGAAAAACATGATTTTTTGTCATAGCAATTGTTGCCTTGTTGTTACACCATATTTCCGTTGGACCAATCTGCTGTTGTTGAAGATCTACTAACAATTTCCTTAACCAAACAGCTTGACAACATGCTGAAGTTGCAGCCATGTATTCTGCTTCCGAAGATGACAAAGCTACTGTATCTTGTTTTTTTGAACTCCATGAGACTGCTCCAGAGCCAAGACTAAAAATGTTCCCAGATGTGCTCCTGCGATCATCCAAGCTACCTGCCCAATCACTATCAGTAAAGCCAATTAATCTGAAACCTGATACTTTTGAGTACCAAATTCCGTGACTTGTTGTGCCAACAACATATCGCAAGATCCTCTTGGCTGCACCTAGGTGTTGCTTTGAAGGACTATGCATAAACCTTGAAATCAAACTGACAGAAAATGCTATATCGGGCCTTGTGTGCGATAAGTAGTTTAGACCACCAACCAAGCTTCTATAATAAGAAGCATTTGCTGCACCTGTACCATCATCGAGTACCAACTTCTCATTCGTATTCATAGGTGTGGGAGATGGATTACAATTCAGCAGGTTGAACCTCTTTAAAAGTTCAGTTGCATATTTCCTTTGTGAAATAAAAATTCCATCCGAATCTTGTCTCACCTCAAGCCCAAGAAAATAATGCAGCATACCCAAGTCGGACATCTCAAATTTACTCATCATGCAACTCTTAAATTCAGAAACAATAGATTCACAAGAGCCCATATATATAATATCATCGACATAAAGACAAACAACCAGAAAGTCACTATTACCTTGCTTCTTCACATAAAGTGTAGGTTCATTGTCACTTTTTCTGAACTGCTGCTCTTGAAAAAAAGAGTCAATTTTGCTATACCATGCCCGTGGTGCTTGCTTTAAACCGTACAATGCCTTCTTCAATCTGTATACTTTGCTCTTTCCTTCAAGATGAAGCCTTTAGGTTGACAAACATAAACTTCTTCTTGTAAGTCGCCATTTAGGAAAGCAGACTTAACATCAAATTGGTACACATGCCAACCAAGTTGAGCAGCCAAGGCTAGAGTAGTTCTAACCGTTTCAAAGCGAGCTACTGGTGAGAACGTCTCATCAAAGTCGATGCCTTGTTGTTGAGAGTATCCTTTTGCAACAAGTCGAGCTTTATGCCTTTTGACACTTCCATCAGCATTGTACTTTGTTTTGAAAATCCATTTTAGCCCGATAACATTCTTCCCTTCCGGCAAATCAACTAACTCCCAGGTCTGATTTTTCTCGATAGCCTGAATCTCTTCAATCATCGCATCCTGCCACTCTGGTTGCTTTGCAGCTTCTTCATAACATGTTGGTTCAGCAGCTAACAGGGCAAAGCTACAAGATGCATAAACATCTTGCAGTGACCGGAACTTTGTTGGTGGCGTCTCGCTGGATGACGCCGAAGGTGGAGAACGAGAGCTTGATGGAGTAGAATTGTTGCCACTTCCATGAGCAGTATGGTCAGTATTGCTGCTACCAGGTGAGGAAAGATCAGAACTTGTTGTTTCAAGTATCCCTGTATGCCCTACTTCTGCGTGAGCTGGAATATGGATGACTGAATCTTCTTCCTTGTCGTTCCACTCCCAGGCTGATTCTTCATTAAATACAACATTCCTGCTAATAATCACTTTGCCACTAGTAGGATTATACAGTCTATATGCTTTGGATTGAGGACTATAACCAATGAAAATGCATTTCTCTGATTTTTCATCTAGCTTAGAACGTAAATTAACCAAAGCATAAGCTATACAACCAAAAACTTTCAAGTGGCTTACTTGTGGTTTCCGTCCCGTCCATGCTTCATATGGAGTTCGATTCAAAACAACTTTTGTTGGAGAGATGTTTAAGAGGTACACAGCTGCAACCACTGCTTCTCCCCAAAAATGAACAGGAAGTCCCCTTGCATTAAGTAAGCTTCTGGCCATCTCAACCACAGTACGATTCTTCCGCTCGGCGACTCCATTTTGTTGTGGCGAGTACGGTGTTGTAAGCTCCCTGCGAATTCCATTCTCTTCACAAAACAAAGTAAAATCATTAGATAAAAATTCACCACCACGGTCTGTGTGAAGAGCCTTAATGTTGCAGCCTATTGTTAGTGATTGGAGAATGAGCCATGAAGAGCTTACTTTCATTCTCTGTGTTCTCAGAGAAATTTGCTTGATTCTGCTCGTCCTTTTGCTTAGTCCAACAATATGTTTCAGTATGACCAGACTTCTTGCAATACTGGCACTGAAAGTCACTCTTGGGATGTCGAGTGTCATTGAATTGACTTCTGCCTCTACCGCGGCCTCGACCTTGGCCACGAAATCTGCCTCTTCCTCTACCTCTGCCAGATGACTCCTCTTTCACCTGGAATGCTTTTTCTTCAATTTTCTCATGAGACCTATTTATCCTATCTTCATGAGCTAATAAAGAACCCATTAATTCATCAAATGAATAATCAGATAAATCCTTGGATTCTTCAATAGCAGCAACCACATGCTCAAATTTTTTTGTTAAAGATCTAAACACCTTTGCCACAACAATTTCATCACTAATATTCTCCCCTTAAGACTTCATGAGATTAACAATGGAAGAAACTCTAGACATATAATCTTGAACAGATTCATTACTTTTCATAAGTAAAGTTTCAAAATCACGACGCAAAGTTTGTAATTTTACAGCAATTACCTTCTTATCTCCCATATACTCCTGTTGCAGAATTTCCCAAGCTTCGTGAGAAGTCTCTGCTGCTGAAATTCGCGGAAAGATATCATCATGAAAGGCTTGTTGAATCAGGAACAGCGCCTTCGAGTCTTTTTTGCGATTCTCCCGTAGCCGTTGTGCGTGGCCTTCATCCGAATCTGCAAATCCACTCTCCACCAAGTCCCACAACTCTTGAGACTTGAAGAGAGTCTTCATCTTAAGACTCCAAAAATGATAATTCATCCCTTTGAAAATTGGAAGATGTTGGGAGTTACTGTTAGAGTTTGTTGCCATTGTTTGTCTGGTTTGGTATTTCTAGGGCAAAATTTTTATCTCTCGTTACTCTTAAAACTGGCGCTGATACCAAATTTGTTGGATGAAAAAGGCAAAAATAAATGAAAGAGTTTGAGAGACAGAAGGTTTCTTTTACTGCAAAACTTTCTTGCTTCAAAACCAAAACTCCTATTGCCCTTTTATAGGCTTACAATTAACTACTAAAGCTAAAATAAAGCAACACACAAATAATGGAAAACATGGAAAAGTGGTAAACATGGTCCACTACAATAAGAATATAATTTCATTGACTAAGTAAAACATAAACCCACTAATCCTAGAAAATAGACCCACAGACTGATTTCTGCAAACTAACTATTTTTGAAGAATTAGTCAACAAATATTACCTTGTAAGAACACTTTGACAGAGGGGTGCAACCAGTAAACAATAGGGTTTGATTTCTGACCACATGTGATTACCTTTGTCAGGGTCGAAATGAGAGTGTTGGAAGCAGGTTCGCCAGAATCCAATAGTTGTAATTCAAATCCTGTATTTTTCTTTAAAAAAAATCATTTAATATGTCAAAAATTATTAATTTTGAACTCAATAACTCAAAAGGACTAAAATCCCTAACCCATAAGTTTCAAATCCTGATTCTGACTCTTCTGATCACACAAGTTTATTCATTCAAAATGTGATTAACTTTCTGCTCGTGTATTAACGTGTGCTGATTGTTGATTTAGATAAATATGATTTCTACCGAAACATCCTACATGTTGAGGAAAGTACTAGGGATCCCATGCATGTTGATAGAAAGAAATTCAAGAGTTCTCTCTTCACTGGAAGGATTCTTGTGCAAAAAAATAAAATGAAGTAGTTGGAAAAAGATTCATATCTCGTATGTTACTCCCTTCTATAACCTGAGGCTGGCATGCAAGCGAGGCTTGATGCACATGCCATCCAAAGTTTCAAGTGTTTTGGTCTCTGTATCCAAGGAAATGAGGAGATTGACAATGATGTGACACATCATACTAATGCAGGGTGGATGAAATGGAGGCTTGCATTTGTAGTATTGTGTAATAAGTAGTGTTACCAAAACTTAAAGGCAAGTTCTACAGTGTAGTGGTTCGACCAACTATATTGTATGGGGTAGAGTCTTGGTCAAGCAAGAACTCTCATGTTTAGAAGATGAAAATTGTAAAAATGAGGAAGCTATGGTGGATGTGTGGGCATACTAGGAGAGATTGGATTAGAAATGAAGATATCCAAAACAAAGTAGGAGTGACCTCGATAAAAGACAAGATGCGGAAGTGAGACTGAGATGGTTCAAACATGTGAAGAGAAGATGCATGGATGCCCAATTGCGGAGGTGTGAGAGGTTAGCTGTAGATGGTTTCAGTTTAGCTAGAGGTAAGCCGAAGAAGTATAGTAGAGAGGTGATTAGACAGGACATAGTGCAGTTGCAGCTTAGTAAGGACATGATCTTAGATAAAAGGTTATGGAGGATACGAATTAGGATAGAAGGATAGTAGGTTGTAGAGCGTTGTCTCACTAATCCTTCCATAGTAGTAGTCCGAGCATTTCTCTTGTAGTTTCTTGTCCTCTAAGTTCTGTTACTATGTACTGTCTCTTGCACTTCGATTATCGCACTATTTCGTTGTAGTCACTGGTTTTTTGTTTTCAGAATGTTTTTTCATGCTTTCTATAGTATTTTCATGATTTCTTCACTTCTATTATTTCTCTTTTTATCTGATTTTTCTTGAGTCGAGGGTCTATCGAAAACAACCTCTCTAAATCCAAAGGTAGGTACACTCTACCCTCCCTAGAACCCACTTGTGGGATTACATTGGGTATGTTGTTGTTCTTGTTGCAGAAGATACTGTTCCTTTTGTTCTTGATTTGCGCTAAACCATGCATAGATACTATTGATGCTTACGTTATGATCTAGTGCTTTTGCCGTCACATACTTCCACTCTATTGTGAAAACAGAGATTGAGAAGATAATAATTACTAATAAAATGTATGGAGTTTGGTAAATTGTTGAAACGATCTTATACTAAGGTAAAGTTGTGCAAATTTGTACTTAAATTGTATTCGTTTACACAATGATCTGAGGTCTGGGATGCTAGATATTTCCATTTAGGGTAAGGAATCAAATAGATCTGAATAGAAACAAGGAAAATAGGTCAATTAATTGATTGTTATTTTCAACAGGTGGTTGGGTACTACCAATCAGAAAAAAAAGATCAGGTTGTTGGATTCTTCTAATCGGCATGGCTAAGACCATTCTTAACAGGATTTGTATACCATCAGATCACGAAATGTAGCAAGCCATCAGACGAATTGCAAACATAGTTTCTATGTGAGGATTCAACTTTAGATTTCAGAATCTCAACCTCACGAATCACGAGTAGAAAAACTGTTTAATACATTTTGGACAAGCTTTTTAAATACTATGCCATACCTTAACATCATATGACTTGATGAAGGTCTCCATCCTTACCTTCTGGCGTGACAAATGATTCCCATTGAAGTATGTGGGTCTAGTTTGTGAAGTTCCCTCTTGGAATAGTGCGCTGATGGTAATTTGTTGAGACATAATCTTTTCTCATTGGCTGAAAACAAATAGACGTGAGACCTTGCTCTGATACTAATTGAAAGTGCAAAGATGGGTTGGAGGGTGGGTGAGTTTTTAGTTGTATTAGTCGACTTCCTGTTTCTAGTAGTCAACTATTTAACCGAAAAGCAACAACCAGTTAATCCAAACAATAAAGTGCTGAAAGGAAATTTAACACCATATATATTTTTTTGAGAATGAAACACCATATGTTTTTATATTGGTTGAGATTCATAATGGATCTTAGTCCAGTCCCCTTCATCGAGTTGCAAGGGTGTTCTCTTCTAGCTTTTGAGTATTTTGAACTTATACAGTGCTTGTCGAGTATAGCTCCTAAGTCTACACTCAATTCTTTTTTCTCCTTTTTCAATCTTTTGATACAAAGCTTTATCAACAATATTTTTCTCTCCTCTTTTTTAATACACCACTCAGAAAACAATGCTTGCTAAAAGTAGAATAGAGCTTGTGAGATGGTTCAGATGTATTGTATATCTTCTTCTTTCTTCAGTGACCTTCTTATAGAGGTGGATGATTAGCTTGAAGGTTTTTTTTAGAAGAGATGACAACCCAAGAGATTTGATCCTTGCAGAAGGAAGGAGGGTCCTGTTTCCAAGAATAAGGTCTTTATTGACTTTCAATCAATTAATCCGTTGATCAGCTTTGTGGAGCGATTCTCTCCAAGCGAGATTTAGGGACTCCAAATGAGATCTGCATCTTGGTCTGTGTCGTGATTTCTTCTTTATTGATGGGTTCTTGATAGCTTACTTTTGAATTCTCCTTGATTTGTGATGGTATCAATTATTTTTAATACCTTCCTTTGATTGATGAGATAAGAGGTCTTCCCGTTGATTGTAATCAATTTACAGCTTGCTGTTGGGATCCTCCTGTTGATTGTAATCAACATACAGCTAGCTTGTTAGCTGCTGTTCTTCTTTTTCCTTTTGTGCTGCTTTACTGAATTCTTTCTTGAATTCCTTTCCAATTCTTTAAAGCTCATAGGAGAGACCGAAAAACTTTGGATATCAGCAAAGCAACCAATCAAAGCTTTAAACTCCAGGACAGTGGATTATTGCAAATTAAGAAATATAGGAAATAATCAGTTAATAATGAGGCCGAGACAAAAAAGTTCTCTTTTCACTTCGTATTGTTTCAACTTGCCATCTGAGAATGATTCTTGTGAGAGGAAAGTATCCATAAAAGACCTCAAGACTATGAGAAATTATTTCCAGACTACAAGAAGTCCCATTTTTACCAGGCTGGCTAGAGAAAAATCCACAAAGTTAGGTGAATAAAAGAAGACGAAAACATAAAACTATCAAGTAAAAGTTCCTAAAGGCAGGAAGCAGTTATGGATAATTATTTTTGTGGCGATCGGCATGATGCATAGGATTCACAGTTCTCTTACAATTTACTCTATTGGATACCATTTCAAGGTCCACAATGATCCAACTAATAGATTTGATGCAGGAAGGCATAGAGGCCAATCTGAAGAAAGAATACAACCAAAAATATTTATGAGTGCAAGGCAGTAAAAGAAGCCAAATGTTGTCTGACTCGCAGGGAATATTTCTTTGCAACTTTTCTGACTACTTAATATGTCATATATCCAAGTTGAGAAGCTTCAACTTGGAGGAACTAATAGAGGTAAAGCGCAAGTGAAAGTGTCCTCCTTTGATTTATGACCGCTGACTAACAACTTAATACAATCGTGAAGACATGCATGTTTGGTCAACAAAGGCAGAGCTAGGATTTGAAGCATATGGGTTCAGGATTCTAGTTCTTTTGAGATATTGAGCTCTAAATTAATAATTTGTGCATAATCAATGAAGTTTTTAAGACAAATACAGGGTTTGGACCAAAGCTACTGGGTCTGGCTGTACCCTGTAAGCCATATTCTAGTTCCACCCCTGCTGGTCAAGCAATAGGCATGAAGATATGTTTTTATACCATGTTTGTGCATTTTTCCTCGATTTAATTCTATATAAATGTCTTTTTATCTTAGTATCTTTTCTTGAAATAAAATTTGTGCTCAAAGCAGCAAACAATCTGTTGCCATAACTTTACCAAAGTTTATTGAAGGATTTGATCCTTCTTCTTTGTGTTCAGAGAAATCATTTTTTAATAATGTTCGAGCATTTCTGTAGTTGTGACGGTCATCTGTCTTGGGGTTGAGTATGATGCTGTAAACTGCTTCATTGATGTAGCGGAACAATTGTTGATGCAATTGCTGTACCTCACCGCTTCTAGTGTTTCCCAGAATAAAGTTTCTTGTATTGTAGCTGCTTATGTAGGAGCTAAGTTTAAGAACCTACACTTCTGTATGCCTGTCATGACAAATTTATCTGTCTGTAAGCTACATGCATCTTTGAGAGATACTGTCTTGTTTCTTTTTTAAAACTGCAGTGTGATGAAGGCTGAATGTTTGCAATCTGTTGGGTCCAATAGCTGAATTAAACTTACAGTTGACCATTCTTTAGAACATACTATGACGACAGGCCTTATAAACTTAAATTGTCATTTTCCCCTTGTTTTGCTTCTCAGTGACGAGCTCCTCAGTTTTTGTCGACTTGCCTGCAGCCGCACTCTTAATTGTTTCCCTTCGTTATCTGTCTCTTGATTTTGATGCGCGGATGAAAGCTGTAACATATAAAAGTAAGTCATCCATATCAAACAGCACTTTTCAGAGGAAAAATATTGATATTCCAAGAACAGTTTGTTACAACGAAAAGGAAGAAGAACTTCAGATCTACAAGGTGTAAACAGTAGGAAATAGCAGCTGTAAATTGCTACAGAAAATCTGAAAGTGAAGAAGAAGGCTTAATTTTCTTGAGTTCAATTTTTTTCACTAGATGTTTCATTACATATGGTGTATTTATAGATAAAGTGTGAGAATTACAACCACATAATAAGCAAAATATCTCACACCAAACTATGTACCTATGTGGCTCACTATCTACCACTCATTTTAAATCAAGACTAACATATCTACTACAAAATATCTCCAACCTAGGAGTTTCTAGACAATTCTTACTTTTTTAACATATCTAATGCAAAATATCTCTAACCTAGGAGTTTCTAGACAAATCTTAATTTTCTAACACAGTTAATGAGTAGTCCACCTGGAGGAAGAAAGTAAATTCACCTGCTGTCGAAGAAGCAATAGATCACTTCACCAGGCATATTGTTTCTGAGTGGGTCACAGATCTCTGGTACTCCCGCATAACTTCTGCTACACAGGGTCCTGAGGAACTTGTGCAGATCATGAATGGTGTACTAGGGGAAATTTTATGTCGCATGAGAACTATTAATCTTATAGATCTTATCACAAGGTTTAAAATTTTAGTTCCTGGATGTTGCTGAAGATTTCCTCTCTACATTAACTTTTTATCTTAAAGAATTCATTCAACTGAACACATGCAGAGATATTATCAATCTAATACGCACTCACTTGGAGCTGTTTCGTGCAAGCAAAATAAATATTTAGAAGAAACGGCCAAGTTCCTTGACAATTGAAGAGCTAGATGTGGAGCTTAAACTGGTGTTGGCTGCAGACAACAAATTACATCCTGCTTTGTTTTCTCCGGAGGCTGAGCACAAAGTAGTTTCATTTTTATTATCTCTTAACAACTGATAATCAATTGATTTCTAGAAGTCCTTTTGGTTAGGATGTTTTATTTATCTTATACTAGTCTTCTTGATCTTCAGGTACTCCAGCATCTTATGGATGGTGTCATTTCATACACTTTTCAGACAGAGGATGCGCAGTGCTCTTTATTCCACAACATTGTCAGGGATCTTCTTGCTTGTGTTGTAATGCGACCAGTATTAAATATAGCTAATCCAAGGTAACAGCTTCCTAGATCTTGCTTGTTGTAGTCAAATTTTGTTTCTGCTCTTAATTTGTTCAATAACTTTTGTCAGGTTCATTAACGAGAGGATTGAGTCTCTAGTTGTTTCTGTAAAGAAGGGTGATAAAGGGAATACAGCAGGAGAAACAGAACCACAGTCTAGGCCGGTTGGATCTGGTAAAATATCAGCAGATCATTTTTCTCGGGTTTTAGATCCTTCTGCCAAGGGCGTAGAGCTTGTACAACTAAAAAATGACCAACCTAATAACAATGAGGAGCATGCCATGAACAGTATGAATGGAACAGATTTGTTGTTGGACCCTTTGCTTTCACTTGATGCTCGGTCTACTCGTTCTTGGAGTTCTTTGCCATCACAAGCCGATGCAGATGACAGAAGAGGTATTCAGAGACACCACTCTGGAGGAGAGTGGAGTGAAAGGCTAGATTTGCTTTCTCGTAGAAAGTCTGAAGCCCTGGCCCCTGAAAATTTAGACAATATATGGGCAAAAGGCAGAAACTATAAACGGAAAGAAGAGGCCAATTTAGCATCTGATAAACTCAAGAAGAGTTCATTGGTAAGTGCACCAAAATCGCCGGGACAGTCAAAGGAAGCTAAACAGAAAGAGAGTGAGAGAGAAAACAAGGTTGGAGATAATCATTATGTGACGGACAATGCTCCCTCGCAAGGTGATTTGAAAAGACCAATTTATCCTCCAGATTACTCGTATCAAGAGGAAAATGAACATAGCTCAGATGAGGTTGAATCAGAGAGCACTAGTTCTTACACTACTGAAGATGAAGAACCCAGCAGTGTGACTGGTTTTGACTCTCCTGGAACTCAAGTGTGGGATGGGAAAAATATAAGGAATGTCAATCACATTCATCATCCACTTGAAAATAATGAACGCCATAAGAGAAGAAAAGGAAAAGCTAGTAAAACACATATCCGCTCTAAACACTTAAATAGAGTACTGTCTGGACGGAAAAGGTCTAGATTAAGCAACCAAACGGAACACTTGTGGCAAGAGACACAAAGAGCCAGCTTCTTACAGGGGGGTGGACAAGATATATTAAATTCCAAAGAAAATGTGAAACCGGATGGTCTAAGTGATGACTCTGAGACAGAAATATTCAGTAGAATTTCTAGTGACACTAACGCATCATCATATGTCTCGTCAAGAAGCTTTTCGTAAATTCATAGTATGGGTCCTTATTCTACAACAGGTTCTATAATTGCTGATTCTTTTTTGAAATTAAGAAGTGAGGTATGAATTTGATTGTCATCCTTTTGTCCATGTTACCGACTTAAGGATTAACTCGGATGATCTTGGACGTCTACTGAATAAGCTTTTTCTCTGTTGCAGGTCCTGAGTGCTAATATCGTAAGAAGTGGCTCCAAAACTTTTGCTGTTTATTCCATATCTGTTACAGACATGAACAATAATAGTTGGTCTATCAAAAGAAGGTAGAGTGATTTGAACTTTCTACTGTTAGGCGGTGTGATGATCACTCTTTTGTAGAGATTGTCATCTCTAGAATCTCTTGCATCAAATTAAAATTTAGGCTGCTGGTTGCAGGTTTCAACATTTTGAGGAGCTACACTGGCGTCTTAGGAGTTTCCGGAGTACAATCTTCATTTACCTCCCAAGCATTTCCTCTCTTCAAGTCTGGATGTTCCTGTCATTCGAGAATGGTGCAAATCACTTGTCATATATTTGAAGGTGATACTTTAATAGACGGCATGTGACAGTCCCTTCCTTTAGCAATCAGTATTACTTTCTTCCAGATCATAGTGACATCATGTTAAACACATTTACTATGATATCTAAATAATGTTTAAATGTTACTCTTTCACTCCTTTTAAATATTGCTATACTTTGCGTTTTATCCAGTGTTATCAAAGGCGCGCTTAAGCCCTGAAGCAAGGCTCAAAACGTGTTGAGCGCTTCGCCTCGCTTTATGTGCGCTTCAATGTCGTCATCAAGATTCTAAGACAAACTTTGCCTTGCCAATGAGCCTCTTATGAAGAATTGACACTAAACAATTGATATTTCACTTTATAATAAAAATTTTTTGATTTCATTGGTCATATATTTGTCATTCATGTTTATAATTATTAGTCTTGGACTAAACTTATATATTTGTATTTTTTTTCTCCCTTTGTGCCTTTATTCATTAAAGCCCACGCTTTATTTGCGCTTCAAGCCCCCACGGACCTTAGAGCTTTTTTGCGCTTTTCGCCTTCGATAACAGTGGTTTTATCATAGCACTTAATCTTGGTCTTAGTTCTTTAATAGTACTTGGACTTTCATATCTGCCAAGAATTGTCTTTCATATTCCTGAAATCAATAAAATACCTTTACTATTTTGCTTTTATTTCATTTCTCTAATGTTGTCTTTGTATTTTTTTGGTTACTGTTTCTGCTTTCCTCAGAAACTTCTGCTGCTCCCAACTGTTTCCAACTCCATCGAAGTATGGGACTTCCTCAATGTGGATTCACAGGTTGAAAACATTATCAGCTTTACAGTTTTCTTACTCTGGATAGTTTTTAGAACAAAGAGAGTTGATTTTACATTCTTTCTTTGTTCCTTTATTTTGTTGTGCAGACATATAGCTTCTCAAACTCCTTGTCCATAATTGAAACATTACAGGGTGAGTAATCTGAGTTAGCATGATGAGAGGGAAAAGGGGTGGGGCATCGTCCTGTGTGTTAGTTATAAATAGTTTATATGGATACTGGATTTCAGCTGACCTAGACAGCACTGTACGCCAAAAGAGTAAAGAACCTCCGCATGGTATAAGCCCTCAAACTGATCTGTTATCCTCCAAGGGGAAGCATTCTAATACTGAAAGCAAGAATCCAACTTCAAGGATGGAACAACATCATGCAGGACATGAATCAAATAATGACAACAAGGTGCATGCAAACAGAAAATCAACCCCAAACATGCAGACGACATCAAAATCAGTTGAAAGTAACTCACGTGCATCACCTGAATCTCTTGTTGCTGCTCCCGTGGATCCCCCCTTTCCCAGTGAGGTAGTCACTTGTCTAATTTGGAAAGAATATACCTCCTTGCACTATTGAACTCTAAAGAATAGATTGCTTATGATTCATCGATTATGGAAAGATGAGAAGGTCCATTTATTCAAGGATGCTTTTATATTTGATGTAATTTCTACAATGGCTCTAAACCTCATTTTTATTTCACTGTAGTGGGTGCTACCAAATTTAACCGTGCCTATATTCATCTTGTCGACGTCATTTTTCAGCTCCAAGATGGTGGATGGATCAGGTAGTATTTAAGCTCTTGGACTTGATTTTAAATGCACTTGTGTCAGGGACTTCACTGGACCTGTTGTCTTGGGGCTCATTTTAGGAGGAATGCATTCTGGGTGGCTAAACAGGTTTTACAATTGGGAATGGGTGATGCATTTGATGATTGGCTGATTGAGAAAATCCAGCGTCTGCGCAGGGGTTCAGTAGTTGCTGCAGGTATCCAATGTGTTGAGCAGGTATTGTTCAAGTGCCCATTTGTTTATTTTTCAAGAAAGAGAGGTGCTAATGACAATTCTATTTGCATGTGGAACAGTAATGTTTTTGGCTCACTGGATAAGTGTTGTTTACTCTTAACATAATTTTGTTCGAGAAATTCTTGTGTCTTTTTATTCTTTTCTGATTGTGCTCTATGTTCTTTCTCCCCTTTTAGGGGGTGGAGACAGGGCACTGGAGTATGTACTGTCATCAGTCATCATCTAACTTGCTTTATTGATATATCTTGCACATCCATTCAAATGAAAGAGCTGGTGCATGCTTCTTTAAAATCCTTTTAAAGCAGTTTCCCATGACTCTGGACAGCCAAAATTTCAATGTTGGACCAAGTACCAGTTAACTATTTGTGCTCCATGTAGATTCTCTGGCCGGATGGTATATTCATCACAAAGCACCCAGCACGTCAACGTCCTGCACCTTCCTCATCCCCCAATTCTCCTCCAGGCATGCCTTCAACTCCATTATCTTCGCCTAGGCTGGAGGATTCACAGAAACTGGATGAGATGCAGAAGCAGGAAGCAGAGCAACGTGCAAAATTTGTTTATGAGCTAATGATTGGTTGGTTCTTTTACCATATTCTGTTGGATATATGCATTCAACTCAACTCATTTTCTTTTTTCCGTACTCTACAATTGTTCGACTCCTATTATCATTTGCAGATAAGGCACCAGCTGCTATTGTAGGACTTGTTGGTCACAAAGAATACAAACAGTGTGCAAAGGATCTTTATTACTTCATCCAGGTGATCACTATGCCATTACGTTTAGGAAACTCCCTATATGATCGATAGCCTTTTAAATTCTTTCATCTGTCTTAGTTTCTGTGTTTGACCTCTTCTAATTTCTAAAGAAACAACTCGTTGAGAGACTTTTTTTTCTTGTACAGTCATCTGTGTGTATGAAGCAGTTAGTCCTTGATCTTCTCGAGCTATTACTGGTGTCCGCATTCCCAGAGCTGACTTCTGTATTTAACACATTGCATGAGGAGAAGGAGAGATTTGGAGAACTCAAAATAGATTAAGTGGATCGTTTGCCAAAATGCCATTTCGTTATACAATTTTAAGGAAAATCGTCAACAAGTTTATCCCGTTAATCATGGTAAAGGTTTTGTTTGAGGATTTACCAAGACTTGTGTGTAATATTCTTCTTTCTGTGGAAGCACAAAATGCTAGGTTCATTTTATCAAATATGTAAAAATGTTGGGAGGGCCATGACTGTTCCAAATTTTTTGGCAATAGAAGTTATGGACCAACAGTCATAAATATTAGTATATGTTAAGATGTCTGGAAATCCACAAATGATGGATTAGTAGATAGCAAGATATGACTTATTTATACTGAATATGAATATTTAAGATGAAGCTAGAGTTTTGCTATTGATTCTCAAATATTTTTGACTGGTCATTTTTTGGTGAAGTTTCATTATGTGTTTTGATTATAATTTTTGTGAGAAATATTTGACTTTTTAAAGAAACATGATTTATATCCATAAGTTCCAAAAACTATTTAACATTCAAAAATTTACAAAAGCATAGAGAGACATGGACCTAACAACGAGGATAATCTAAACAATCGACAAAATGACTTAAATGGCATACTATAGGCAAAATACAATGGTTCAACTAACAAAAAAGTACATTTGTCGTATCCAGGGGCGGACCCACACTTGGTTAAAGGGGTGTCAGCGACACCCCTTTGCCAGAAAATTACATTGTATATAGAGGTCAAATTTTGATTTAATAAATATATATAAAAGTATTGACACCCCATGATAATAGTGAAATGTTTAGTCTAGTGGTTAAGAAATTGTAAATATTCCTTAAAGTTGTATCAGTTCATCGACCTCGAATAGCCAGCTTTCTTGCACCATCTGGTAACATATAAGGCCGCCATAACTTCATAATATTACTTAAAATAATATTTGAATGGTTTAGCTAAAGTTTTTTTTTTCTCATCTCGTATTCACATTGGAGCATGATTAAACTCAGATTCACATCAGAAAGTCCTATATTGAATTTGGGTGGGTAAAGTGATTAATTCTCGATTAAGATTGAAGCATGATTAAATTCAGATTCGCATCGGAAAGTCCCATATTGGATTTGGGTGGGTAAAGTGATTAATTTTCGATAGTAGACATTCTTTTGCTTCTGATAGAAGATTGGCTATTCAACATATTTCTCCGATAGAACCTTGTTATGGTCCAGCTAGAAATCGCGCTACTTCATTACATACTTTATCAACAGTTATATCTGCAGAAAAATAAAAAATTAAAATTGATCCTCGGTTAAACATTGTTCAAACAAATGATAAAGCATCTGATATTTCTGATAAGGATATTCCTTCTGTATCCGAGATGGATTTTAATCTTAATGATACTTAATGATAAGTGAACATCAAATTGATTTTAGTCCAGGTTCGCTGGCAAGAAAATATATTCAAAATGAATTTTTAAATGAAAAATGGAACCAGTTTAAAACTTGGTTTTTTGACACTTATAGTAAAGAAGATTTAAATAATATTTCTCAAGAGTTTTATGAAACTTGTGCATTACATAATCATATTATGTTCTTTGTGCCTTGGTTTATAACCACTTATTTGCCTTTATTCATCAATGTTCTTGAACGATCCTACAAAGATGAATCAGGTAATATTATTCAATCCATTTATCCTCCTCAAGCTCCGTTTATTTTACCAAATAATACTAGTATTACTTTTACTACTTTTCATAAATTTATTGATAATGATGTCACCGTTGTAAGTATAAATGAAATTAATCACCTTATTTCTCAAAATAATTATTTGGGTCTATATGTTAAAGTTATTGGTGAACATATTTGTTTTCTAGACAAAAAATTAGATAGCTTGTCTAATCTGATTGTTCAAATTGATAATAAGCTAAAATCTGTGAAACAAGTTTCAGAACAGGCTTCTTCGTCAAAACAGCCTGATGTTCATATTCAAAGGCCTCCTGAGATTCAGGATTTTATTCTTAGACCTTTGCATGACCTTGAAAATCTTCTTGATAAAAAGTTTTCTCAATTTGGTGCAAGTGCGAAACCGATAAGTCTCGCTGAAGATTTTGCAGATGAGATGGAAGCCACTTTTGATTTCAAAACTCAAATAGAAATGGAAGTTAATAAACTTCATGGGTATCCAAAGAAGAATAGCGGTAATACTGCTTATGCTAGAAAACCTAGCATGCAAACATATTACTATCTCAGGCCTACTCCTCAAGATGTTTTAATAGAGGAAAGAGATTGGAATCAAACTAACACTTCTTATAGTGTAAGTGAGATTTATGAATGGAATCTCGATGGGTTAACTGATAGGCAGTTGACGATTATGGTTCATAGGATGCTTATGTATGATACTATCTGCAAAAGTGTTAGTAACACTGACAAGACCATTTACAAGATGATTATTGCAGGATTTACCGGTCAACTAAGAGGATGGTGGGATAATTATATGCCCTCTGATGCGAGAGCAGCAGTAATTAATGCTAAGGCAGTAAATGAAGGAGTTGATAATTTAGGTTTTGCCCTTGTTCAAAATAGAGAAGACGCTGTGTATACACTCATTTTGACTATTCTTGAACATTTTAGTGGTAGATTTACCAATCAATATGAAACCATTAGATCTCTACTAAATGGTCTTAGATGTAGACATTTAGGTGAGTTTAGATGGTATAAAGACACTTATTTAAGTCGGGTCATGGAACTACCCGAAAATGGTTTAGAATTCTGGAAAGCCAAATTTATTGATGGCTTACTTTCTTTATTTGCAGAAAGAGTAAAAAAGACTCTTCGAAATCCTCAAGGAATTATTCCCTATAGTGATTTTACTTATGGAAAGCTTATTGGGGCTTGTACGCAAGAAGGCATAAATTTGTGCAATGAGTTAAAACTCTCAAGACAGCTTAAAATGGATAAGCTTAGAGAAAAGTCTCAATTAGGAGATTTTTGTACTCAATTCGGTTTACCGGATGCTTCAAAAAACACCAACCGAGAAACTTCTAAATCAGAATCTCATAGATCTCATCATAAGAAAAGAAGATCTAGAAGAAGGACTAGAGAAGAAAGAGATGAGCGTAGGGCTCATTGTAAATCTCATAGATTTACTAGGAATAGGTCAATGCGAAATCTTGATAAGATTAAGTGTTATAAATATGGAAAATTTGGGCATATAGCTCCAAATTGTAAGCTAGAAAAGCTTAAGACTCTAGAACTTGATGATGATATTCAAGAGAAGATTTATAGTTTTCTATATACTTCTGGTTCCGAATCAGATTATGATGATTCTGAAGCAAGTTATGCAACAAAGGATGAGCAACCTGAGTCATCTAGTAAGGTTCAACAAGATTCGAATGATGCTTGCAAATGTCATGGTGATAGTTGTCATTGCGAACATGATGAATTCTACAAGATACAATCTCAGTTCGAAGACATGAATATGTTCACTATCACTGTAGACAATGTGATAGAACTTCTTAAAGAAGTTACCGATAATACTCTTCGTGAAAAGATCATTCAATTGGCTGCTAGTAAAACTAGCTCTTCAACTAGTATTCCTAACGATAAAAAGGTTAAAGATGAGTTTAATTATTCTGCTCCTTACTCATTGTCTGAAGTTCATAATAGACTCTCTTCTAAACAAACCATGATTATTCGTGATACCTCTTTTGATGATTTAAAAGGAGAAATTGAACATTTAAAGGAAGAAATTAAATTTCTTAAACAAAATCATATTATTTGTGATCACCATCTTACTCAGATTGAGTCTGCTAATAGCAAAGGAAAAAATAAGATTGATGAATCTACTGCTGAAGAAAATACTCTTGCCAACACCTTGAATATTGATCCGAAACAAAATATGTTTTTAGGAATGATGCAAATCGTTATAGCTCATAAATGGTATGTTAAATGTACTATATTAATTGATAATACTTTTTCTATAACTAACATTGATATGATTGATAGTGACGCTGATGTGAGTTTCATTCAAGAAGGTCTAGTACCTACTAAATATTTTGAAAAAACAACTCATATGGTTAAATCTGCATCTGGTCATGCTTTAGATATAAAGTATAAATTATCTAATACTCGGATTTGCCAGAATAAAGTTTGTATTCCTCACTTCTTTTTCTTAGTAAAAAATCAGTTATACCCTCCTATTATTCTAGGAACTCCTTTTATAAATGCAATTTATCCTTTTACTAATATAAATGCTAAAGGATTTTCTGCTACTTATAAAAATCAAGATATTAGTTATACTTTTATCACCGAGCCTATTTCTAGAGATATTAATGCTCTAATTGAAATGAAACAAAAGCATGTTGATTATTTACAACTTGAGATATTTAGTATGAATATATTCGATACTTTAAAATCTGCTAAAGTACAGAAAAAGATTAAACTCATTTCTGAAAAAATGGCAATTGATATTTGTGCTGATCATCCTAGTGCCTTTTGGAATCGGAAAAAGCATATTGTAACTCTTCCATATGAAGATGACTTCTCAGAGGAAAATATCCCCACCAAATCACGTCCTTATCAGATGAATACCGAATTGGTTGAATTCTGCAAAAAGGAAATTGATAATTTATTACAAAAAGGTTTGATAAAACCTTCCAAATCACCATGGTCGTGTACTGCTTTTTATGTTAATAACGCAGCAGAAAAAGAACGAAGTGTTCCCAGGTTAGTTATAAATTATAAACCTTTAAATAAATTTTTACAATGGATTTGGTATCCTATTCCAAACAAAAGGGATTTATTATCAAGACTATATGATGCTAATATCTTTTCAAAATTTGATTTAAAATCTGGACATTGACAAATTCAAATATTTAAAGACCATTCTTATAGAACGGCATTTAATGTCCCGTTTGGACAATACGAATGGAATGTAATGCCCTTTGGTTTAAAAAATGCTCCCTCGGAATTTCAAAAGATTATGAATGATATTTTTAATCCTTATTTGGATTTCATCATAGTTTATATTGATGATATTTTAGTATACTCAAAGACTCTTGAAATGCATATTAAGCATCTAGACATTTTTAAGAAAATAGTTATTCAAAATGGTTTGGTCATATCTAAACCTAAAATGAGTCTTTTTCAAACAGCAGTTAGATTTTTGGGTCATTTGATTTGTCAAGGAAAGATGAATCCTATTCAGCGATCTATTGAATTCGCATC